CAAACTTTCATAGCGAATCAAAACAAACATTGCGTAGTACTAGAATTTCGTCTAGAATGGGGTACGTTAATCGTTTGCTTGGGACCAATAGGCTAGTCAAGTAGTGAGCCAATTTAAAATCGTTAGTTTCGTATTGATTGTTGGTTTCAGCGTCGTTCATTGATGCTCCGGTCTGCGTACGGGCCTTTTTCGTAGGGCCCCCTGCTGCTGATGCGCTAGTACGCTGACGTACCATTTGGTTTTTGACGAGTTGGACCAAACTTGACAGAGCGTGTGACGATGACGGCACTTCCACGGCCTCGAAAAAAAAAACAATAACGATACAAACTAAAACCGAATAACTCGAGAAGGTGAGCGGGAATCCGAACTGAACTGAACAGCTTGAGGGTCAAGCAGATAATGTGAGAGTGTTGATGACCCTTCTGTATATTCGGCGTATCTTTTTATGCTCCCAGTTAGGCGTAAACAAAACATCTCACCGTTGCTTGACAGCTGGACGCTGTATTAAATGCGCCCGTATGCCACAATTCTAAGCTGTCACAAAAAGGGTATTTTCAATAACTGAAAAGCGGGTAATTTTGATTCAACTTTACAACCCCGTCTTCCCCACTACACTGAACCAATATGACATATTCCTGTTATGTGGAAGTCTAATAAATTTGCGCTATAAGATAATCCATTGAAAATGATATGATTGAAAATGTGTCAGGTAAATTCTATATGAATATCTGATACATTTACGATGCTGATAATTTGGTAACTTTTATATGTTCGTTATATGATAAATGAATATGAAAATCGGTCAAATTATAATAAATAACTGAAATGGATTTGAAACCCATAAGCATATGCTTAACTTTTCACCACAATATAATATATGTGTCATAAATCAATCGAAGTAAAGTTTATGTGAAAATCACATGAAATTTACTTCTTCTTTTGACACATATATTTAATCGATTTCTAAAAATAAATCGAAAAATAAACATCAGGCAGAGAGCTTTCACAGTTGTGTCTTTTTTTTATTGTAGCTGATTTGGGATTCGATCCAGAACTGTTGAGGTGTGGATGCTTTCGGTGTCTGCGCTCGATTCCACTGGGCCAATGCTGACTTCAATATTGAGCTCGTTCAATTAGCATGAAGTAAGAACAGCTCTCCCGACATGGAATGTAGTGCAACGTTATGCTCGTTTTGCTAGAGTGAAGAAAAATAACACTGACAAATTTATGTTCCGTTTGGGTGGTGTCGTGTATTCAAATCTTTCTCAATGCTCCTGTGTGCAATAAAACAACGACTACATTATATAAGTTCATGGAACTGGTTCATGAAGTTCGAGTACTAGTGCTGGAATCTGAATTAGCCGTGTTATTAGAATCTTAGCAAAGTAAATATTGCAGTAGAATCATTTTTTTTTTCAACCTCAATACATTCTTTTCCGGAACCCCTTATCTTATGGAACAATAACAAACAAAAATTATTCAATACAGTATCATTGTTGTTAGCAATATTTAGTACGACTAATCATTTTAACGATACGTGTACGATACCATCGTTGAAAATTGTTTCAATAATTTATAAAGAACAATCATGTAAGATGTTTTTTTATTGGGAGCGATATTCATCCCGGAAAACCATGCCAAAACAAATGTTTGCTGTTGGATTTCTTAAAAGGAAAATCTATATGGCTATATAATGATTGGGATAGATCTGTTTACAATCTTTAAACCTCAAAAATCAAAGGAAGCTATTCCAATGAGATATACATGTTTTCCTATACTGCAAAGTTAAATCACAGTCCAATAGTTTCTACATGTCTGTTTACACACGACATATCAATAAACGTTAAAAATCGATAAAAGCAACTCCAATAAAATATACATGATTATCTTATAAGATATATCTTTTAGTGAGCAATATTCATCATGAAAACAGGTAAATTTTACTGAATTTTTTCATAGTTCAAACTTATATGATTTTCCATTAGTTTCTAGATGTTTGCTCCCACCCATTACTTATCACCAGTTTTTCACCATGAAATATATCAGACAATATTCATATACATTTTATTTATCGCTAACCACGCTCGAAGCAAAGTATTATCAAGTACTAAGTATGTGAAATTACGATAGAAATCATTCCATATCGCAGTCATAGTTTTTAAGTGATAATCCAATGGAATCTATCAATCATCACATAGAATGAATAAATCTGCTGACATTGCTATGTTATAAGATGGATCAATTAAAAGGTACATGTCGATTTGTTTCAGTGTACTCTTTTAATGCGTATTGAGGTTCCCAGCAAGTGTGCAAAATTTGAACGAATTAGGTTATAATTTCGTATGGGAAAATGAACGTGAAACGAACGATCCTACTAATTTGCTTACCATTACCATTGCTCAAATTACTAGCTTTAGATTGAGAATACTATACAAAACAACTATGTCGAAACTTTGTACAAAAAGTTATTATTTTCCTTGGTAGGGCGATAGCTCACTTTCAATGAATCATAGGTTTTCGATGGATTCGATTACATTTCTCAGCACTATAAAATGCAAAATTTACCCTAATAAAAATACCATACCCAAACGAAAATCGAAATGATACAACTATTCCGCAAATGGTTTGGATGATACAATGAACACGTCGTTAAGCATAATCACCATATAAATTTTATTATGGTAACTTTGCCGAAGAAACCATCTTTCTATAACGGCGAAAATATGAACCACAGACAAACAGACATAGCTCTCGCAAGTTGTTCATCGAACAAGCATTTAACGGTCAATTTAAAAGTATCGTAGTTGGTAGTACCACAGACAAACAGACGTAACTCTTTGAAAAACTTGTTCTTGAAAACATAGTATCTCAAAACATATAACCTCAGTAACGACATCTATCTGGCTTCTCGCGGAAAACAAGCTTGCTCGCTAACTCGTAAACAATATTGCATAAAATTTCTATAGAATATATAGAAACGTCAAAGTGATCCGATGCCAGCGCTGTGGCGAGTAGTTCGCGGAACTGATATTATTCAAATCAACCGTTAAATGCATGAACGAAGATACACAATGAAGAGTTACGTCTGTTTGTCTGTGGTAGTACCATCACCTGTGGCGCGCATAGTCAATTCCCTTGCGTTTGACGTTTACACACTACCGCCTTCTGTTCAGCGCACTACCCACCACAGTGTACTCAACAGATGGCGGTAATGTTTTAGCGACGATGATTTACAGTGTGAAATATTCAATGAGTTATGTCTGTTTGGCTGTTTATGAACTATTGAGTACTTCAACGCTAAATGACCAATCGATCAGACGCGACCTTTTCCAGTTTGCATTAAATTTAACACCATTTTATGTTATGGCAGTCATTCACATTTTTGCAAAGAATCGGTTATTTTGAAGCGGGCAATAAAGTTCAAAATAGTGTATTCGATATTTTTCAACAAATCATAATTCGAAAACGTTAATTGCAATCGAAATAACGGCTGAGACAACGTTTTTGCAGCACATATCAGGAAAAATATACAGATAATTTTGGTAAACTTATCCCTGAAAGTGTTTAAAATTAACATGAATTACAAAAATGTCCCTCTTAAATATTTTTTATTAAAATGCTCAACTTCTGTGAAATTTTTCGAAATCATGGATTAACAATTTTTTGTACTTTTTTTGATTTCTGTAAAATTTTGCTTACACAATGATTTTGATACACTAAAATAATATTGTACAAACTAAAACTCCAATTTGGATTTGGTAGCTAGTGTTATCTTGTGTTCTCCAAGTTGTTAGCTGCCCATCGGAGTACCCCCATGTTTGTCTTTTTCATCAGAATGTGTCGCTTAGTTCGAGATCAATAGCACATTGCTCTCCAAACCATGTGTTCACAATCCCTAATACCCTGTCATCCATTTGTTACAATTTGTTACCCCTAACCTCGAGATAGCCGCGAGTTATCGGCCCGCTTTACTAACGTTAGTTTAAGTAATTTTGTAATCTAAACAATGAATATCGGCTTCGCAAAGGTACAGCAAATGAGCCTGGAAAAATAAACGCAACTTGATAATATCGCAGTAGTTAGCATTTGATATGTAAAAAATATCAAAAACTATTTAAGTAGATTATTTTTTGTTATTAAAGATTTAAACACATTTTGAATATTTTACGAAAAATTTCTTGATTTTACTATCGTGTATGTTTTTCCTGAAAAGGAATTATTTTTTGCTATAAAATTGTCTCAGACGTCATTTCAACTGGAAGTGACATTTTCGAGTTATGATTTGTTGAAGAATTCAAATACGACATTTTGAATTTTTTTTTTCGATATTCAAAATGGCCTAATTTAAGCAAAAATATGACCAAATATGAAAAGTTTCATGCAAATTGGAAAAGATTGAGTTTAAAATTCCTTTTTTTTTGCTATTTAGCCTGGAAATGCTGTAATCTGAAATCGTCTGAAGCTGGATCTTTGTATACTTTGTAACTCTGTTAAAGATAGCAAATCGACACTCTAGGTTTTGGCCACAAATACCGGCTTCATTGCCTCAGTGTGCGTAGCCTGACTTTTCACTATCACAAGTTTCCGACTTTTTACCAGGCTAACAAATTTTGCCGAAAACTGATAAGCGCCGGATGTTGTCATTACCTTTTTACTGCCAGTTTACCAAGTAGATAGGTATAAAAGGAATATATATTACCAAGTGCAACATACCGATTTATTCAAATGCCAACATGGTGTGCTCAAGAGCTTTCGTATTGCTGTGCAGTGCAGTTTTAATGCAGCAGGCTTTATGTTTTTTCGATCCACATCCAGAAGTTGGTGAGTATACATATTGTCTGAAATCCCGTTAAATACTAATTCAAAATATATGTCAATCTTATTTAGGAGAGAAACTTGCTCGTGAGTATCATGCTGGTAGCACTCGCGGCGCTACCTATCCGATGGAGTACGGTTTAGGGCATTACTTTGAAGGAGACATCATTCTGAAGCGTGGCCGTGCTGGACTCATATACAACGAGATGAGATGGCCGAAAGGAGTGGTACCGTATAAGGTTGCTGGTAGTTTCGGTAATGTCTTGGCCTACCCATCGGTGGCTGTTGTTTCATGGACCTGTTTTCAATTTTAATTCCATCAGCTACTAAAGACTGGGCAGTGGTTCAACGGGCGATAGACCAATACACGCTTATGACCTGCATCCGATTTGTTAAGCAAACCAAGGAACCATACTACGTTACCTTCTGGAATAACGCAACTGGATGCCACTCACACGTCGGTTTCTACGCGGACAACAACTACCATCAGATCAATCTTCAGACTCCGGGCTGTACGACTTACTCCGGAACTCCAGTGCACGAAATGATGCACGCTTTGGGGGCCTTCCATGAGTTCACAAGAAACGATCGCGACGATTACATCACTATCAATCGGCAGGCTCTGCTCCCCGAGTATCAAACTGATGCGTTCTACAACGCTAACTTTGGCATCACACCGGCTCAGTATGTTTCGAACTATAATACCAGCTACAACTACGGTTCGGTAATGCACTATTCTCGGTATGCCGGTGCTGCAAGTGCCCTGACCCCGGTCATGTCACCGAAGAAGATGTGGTGTACCGATTTTGGCAACAATAACGGATTAACTGACACCGACATCCAATTGATCAATGCTATGTATTGCAATAATCCAAGTGTTATGTTTTGATGTAGCAAATTTCTCTACAACTCGATATTCAAGGGACCATCGAGTTATAGAATTATCGAGTTATAGAATAACAAACCCATACAAAATCACTATCACAGCAGCCATGACATTAATTTTTACTATGGTTCTATAGCTTGGTATCGAGTTAGTGGACATCGAGTTGTGGAGACGGTCTGGTTTTTTTTCTGTTTTTATAACGTTTGACCTAATTAATCATATCGTCCGGCCATTTTCGACAGACATGGCGCTGTTCCGCTGGTAGGAAGTGATTAAAATCCCTATATATTATTTGAGAGAAGTGGGAATAATTCGCTTTCGGTGCATATTCAGGTCAAAAAAAGTGAACTACAACCTAAAGAAATTAGTCAGGGACTTTGTCGTTCAGTTTTTTTTCCCGGAAATTATTGTTTAACAAGCTACAATTAAATAAAAATGATTTTTCCCCATACAGTTTTACCTGCTTTACTACCAGTCCTCAGAGAGCAAAAAAAAAATCAAATTTGAGAGAGAAAATTTGCTCTCACGATCTCAATCCCTCAACTCGATTTGTGATTTCCCTTGCACAGATTACAAAATAGAGTACCTGACACTACAAAACATGTCTGGTACATCTATATATGCATTTACTTTATCATTGGAAGTCCCTCCTTTTTTACATATTCTGCGCAAAAGATACTTTATGCTCCGCCCCATTCATAAAAATCGGCGGGAAATTCTGTGAGGGGTGAGCTATTTTGTGTGCAGAATGTGTAAAAAAGAAGGAACTTCGAATAATAATCTAAATCGTCAGATATTCGCTGCCAGACTGTTGAGCAGTTCAGTCGATTTGAATTCTCTCTAGTTTCGTTCGTTCGTTCGCAAGTCGAATTAGCTCCGCGTTGTGTAGTGACGCTCTCGCTGACCCAGCCATGGGTAAGAAATCGCGCGGTAACGCGAGTGCCGGTTTACCGGGAAAACAGACTCTCCCAGGAGACGGCGCGACCACCGAGCCAGCCCAGAAGAAGCAGAAGAAAACCCCATTGCCCATCCCGACAGGCGTTGCGGACCCGCAGCCGGGGCCTCCCGGAACTAAACGACCCAGACCTGAAGACAGCAGCGCCACCGTATCAGCAGCAAAAAAGCTGCTGAGCAACAATCCGTTCTCCGCCCTGCAGAACGGAGCGCAGCCGCAGTCGGACCCTGAGACGGTGCCGAAAAAAGTTAAGTTGCCACCCTTCTATGTGAAGGGCTTCCCTCCCGGGCTATGGGAGCAGCTGGATTTCTACATTAAGCAGGGCCTTCGCTGCACCATTCAACGGTGCACGGAAGGCTACAAACTGATGGTCCCGGCCGAAAAACACTTCAACGCAGTTCAGGCCCTCTTGGACAGAATGAAGCTGGAGTACTTCTCCCACGACATCGAGGCCACCAAGCCGCTGAAAGTGGTGCTGCGCGGGCTCCACGACATGGACACCACCACCTTATTGGACGAGATTAAGGCGAACGGCCTCAAGCCGGTCGAAGTCCACAAGATGACCCGCAGCAAGGCCATCAAGTATCGTGACCAGCTCTACCTGGTCCATCTGGAGAAGAACACCACAACCGTGAAGGATCTCCAGTCGACACGCACACTGTTCCACATCGTAGTGAAGTGGGAGCGGTATAAACCCACCCACCGTGGCGTCACTCAGTGCTCGAACTGCTTATTGTTCGGGCACGGCACCAGGAATTGCCGCATGGCCAGCCGCTGCATCAAATGCGGCAAAAACCACAAGATCGACAACTGCGACAGCATCGAGGAAGCCACTCCCACATGCGCCAACTGCGGTGCCGCCCACAAGGCCACGAGTAAGGCCTGTCCGAAGCGGGCCGAATACGCCGAGATCCGGAAGAAGGCCTCGTCCAACAGCCAGCCCGGTCGTAAGAAGGTTCCAGAAAACAACGCGCAGAACTTTCCTCCGTTATCACCGGTCCAATCACGGCCAATTCCAGTGTTGCCGCCGCTCCCGCTCAACCAACAGTTGGCTGCCGCTGCAGTACCCGGTCAAGCCTCCGGGCCATCGACGGATCCCCCTGCTCCGGGATTGGCCGGTACAACCGGTGAAGCTACAGACGATTCTCCGCTGTCAACGGATGAGATCGTCACACTGTTGGCCCAGGCCATCATCATCAAGCGCACCTGCGCAACAAGAACACAACAGCTCCAAGCTATCATCTCCTTCGTCGCTAATTATGGACCGTGAACCCATAAAGATCGCCAACTGGAACGCTCGCTCCGTAGGGGCGAAAAACATTGAGCTTGCAGACTTCCTCCGCAAGCACGACATCGACGTGGGCCTTCTCACCGAGACCCACCTCAAGACCGGTGACAGCTTCTGGCTGCCCGACCACAGCATTGTCCGGCTTGATCGCACCAGCTCCAGGGGGGGGGCGGTGTCGCGGTCATCATCAAGAAAGGCATCAAGTACTGCACCCTACCCCACTACCGCACTTCCATCATCGAGGCCGTTGGCGTAGAGGTGGAAACATCGACCGGAAACGTCCGGTTCATCGCCGCCTACTGCCCCCGGCAATGTACCGTTAGCAATGGTACAGCACAGCAGTTCAAGAACGACCTTGCCATCATAACCCACACCAATGCCCGCTTTGTAATCGGAGGGGACCTGAACGCCCGGCACGAGGCCTGGCGGAACTACCAGCAGAACCAGAACGGCCGCCTGCTATTCGACCATTCCCAGCATGGTCTCTATTCCGTCTGGTTTCCGGACGAACCAACCTTCACATCACCGACGGGCAACCCATCGACGCTGGACCTGTTCTTGGCAAACACCAGATTAGCCAAGCCGGTTGCCGTCAACGACCTGAGTTCGGACCATCAACCGGTGCTGACCGAGCTGGGCTACAACGTGGCCCCTGCACCGTGCCAGCGGAAGGACTACCATCGAGTCAACTGGGTCCAGTTTCGACGCGTGGTCGACCGCCACATCGACGACAACCCACCGCTCGACACAGTGGATGACATCGACCGGGCCCTGGAGGGTCTCCATCAAGCCATATCCGTGGCTGACGAAGAGTGCGTTCGACGAGTTCCTGTGAGGGGTAAGTTTCAAGCAATTGATTCCCACACCAAACTCAGAAATGTTCTCAGAAATGTTCGTAGACGCCAGTTTCAGCGGACTGGGGATCTGCAGCGTAAATACGAAATGGTCGATCTGAATCGGCAGATCGCTTCCAGAATGGTCTCAATCCGGAACGAGAGTTTCGGGTGGCTCGTTCAGAACCTGGACGACCGTTCCAGACCATTCTGGAAGGTTGCCAAGGTGCTGAAGTCTCACTCCAAGCCCATTCCACCACTTAGAGTCAATGACGAACGGCTTATCACCAACGAAGAGAAGGCCAATGCAATTGGGGAGCACATTGCCCAGTCGCATTTGCTTGGCTCTACAATCCCAAGTCCACTCGAGAACCAGGTTGTGCAGTGCGTCCAGACGTTAGATGCCTCCCCTTGTGCCGTCCCTCCAGAAGAACGGATTACAGAGGAACAAATTTGCTCAGCACTGAAACACAGTACGAACATGAAGGCTCCCGGGTTTGACGGAATATTCAACCTAGAGTTGAAAAATCTCAGCGCGAGGGTGCACTCGCTGCTGGCTGCCATCCTCAACAGATGCTTGGAGCTGCACTACTTTCCAAGCATCTGGAAGGTGGCAAAAATCATCCCGATCCGCAAACCTGGGAAAGACCCTTCACTACCGTCAAGCTACAGACCGATTAGCCTGCTCTCAGCGCTGAGCAAGCTGTTCGAAAAATTGATCCTCAGCCGACTAAACAAGTTTGTGGAGGAACATGACATTCTTCTTCCGGAACAGTTCGGGTTCCGCAAGGGGCATTCCACCAATCATCAGCTAGTGCGGGTGATGAATAACATCCGAAGTAACAAAGCTGTATCCAAGTCCACAGCCATGGCCTTGTTAGACGTCGAAAAGGCGTTTGACAATGTCTGGCACGACGGACTTATATACAAGCTTTGTAACTCCAACTTTCCACCATACCTTGTGAAAATCACCCGTAACTATCTCCAGCAAAGGTCGTTCAGGGTGTCGTTGAATAGTTCCCTTTCGGGACAATTTCCGATCCCAGCAGGTGTTCCGCAAGGGAGTCTGCTGGGACCACTGCTTTACAGCATCTACACGTCGGACATCCCTCCTCTAGGAGACGGTTGCGTGTTCTTTCTGTTTGCAGATGACACCGCGATAGCCGTCAAGGGTAGGATGCCTCGTGAAATTACGAACAAGCTCCAAAGATGCCTTGACACCTTTACTGATTATGCCACCTCGTGGAAAATCAAAATCAACGCCTCGAAAACCCAAGCGATCATGTTCCTTCACAGACAATCACCAAAACTTAAACCGTCTCCCTCCTGTACCGTAATAATGGATGGTACAAGGGTCGAGTGGTCCACTGATGTTACTTATCTCGGGATGTTGTTCGATGAGAAGCTCCTGTTCCGCTCGCACATAGAGAAAACCCTAGTTAAGTGCTCCGCCTTGGTTAGGTGTTTGTATCCGCTCATTTGCCGCAGATCCCGCCTCTCAAGGCAAAACAAACTGGCTGTCTACAAACAGATCATAGCCCCCGCGATCTTCTATGCCGCCCAGGTGTGGGAATCGTGCGCTCAGACCCACAGGAACAAAATCCAGGTTGCACAGAATAGAGTGTTGAGGATGATCCTAGATCGTCCATTCGACACAAGAATAGCAGACCTCCATCAAGAGGCAGAAATTCCCAAAGTAGATTCCAAAATTGATGATATGACAACTAAATTTATTCAAAAATGCAATCTTTCTGAACATGCTTTAATAAGCAATTTGTACATAGTAGGTTAAGTGTATATAGTAGAGTAGGTTAGTTTTAAGCTGTAAATAGTAGTATTAAGTAGTTTCTCTTCAAATTCTAAAAACAAAACAAACCAATCCCACCAAGGTGGTCGACCGTGTACTAAGTCTAGGCCTAATTCTGTA